TTTAAGGCTCATTACAGAGAAAACTTGCTCACAAAGGTAAAGTAGGTAGATAGAAAAAAACACTTTAACACAGCACCTCAGCTTAACCATCTTCAGTGTGGTAAGGTCCATGGTTATGTTATTATCACATTAACCATCTTCAGTGTGGTAAGGTCCATGGTTATGTTATTATCACATTAACCATCTTCAGTGTGGTACGGTCCATGGTTATGTTATTATCACAGAGAAAGCATCAAACTGACCATGATTCACTTGAAATGAATAAAACAACTTCCATAACGTGATCCATTCTTAACGACTGCAGCAGTGTCTCTGTGTAAAATACAGTCAAATGTCCAAAAATCATCACCTCCATTTGCAGCTTTGTCACTACACCTGTTTTTACCATCGGTACCCGTCCACACTGTCCAACACACCAGCAACAACAGCAGAACCAGCAGCAGCACCAGCAGCAGCGCTCAAAACTCCTCTGATAGTTTCAGTAACACCACAAATGAATATGTGACATCAGTAACATCAGTCTCTTATCAATGGCAACATGTTGGTAAAAGCGAGTGGTTTCTCAGACCATGTCTGCAGCCTGTGAGAGTTTTAACAAACTCTCTCTCACTGTGCGGCTGCGATGCTAATGTTGTTGGCACAGGTAGCTTCCCTTTACAGCAGCAGAACTAACCTCTCGCTCTGGGCACAAACAGACTGCTGTGTCTTCAGGGCCAGACATGTTTATCTTCTGTTTTCTCAATTCTCCGCTCAAAGTGCCGTATTTTTCGCCGAGTCTTGTAGTTTAAGATGTTATTCCTCCAGCACCGCTCTGGTGGAGCCACTACAGACGCACTGGACTCACCCCTAAGCGCGGCGCTGCGGCGTCGCGTCGCAGAGCCTTGCATCGCGGAGCCTCGCGTCGCGGCTTTTTAAAATGTATTATTATTATATTTTTACATAAATGAGCCGCGGGCCGTGTCAAATCTCTTGGCGGGCCGGTTCCGGCCCGAGGGCCGTATGAATGACACCCCTGGTCTAAACTCTCAAGATAGCTGATTATCGGAAAATAAAACGTCTTCTACAAATCAAGGAGTCCAGTCTGAAAATAATATACAGATTTATATTTTGCATGGAAAATTATTGTTGTTGCACGCGTAAATACACTATTAATTAATTACTCCCCTTCCCAAAGTTACAAAAGTTTTATTTGGTTAAAAGATTAAACAGATTATTTAAATGTATTTATTTTAGTCATTTAAACTCAGAAAAGAAACACAAGAAGCACTCTACACACATGGAGAAATTTATTAAAAAAACCAAACGTTGTTCTTGTTGGTGTTAATGTAGTGATTAATAATAATGAACATTTTAATTGCAGTTTCAGTCTTCTTCTTCTTCTTCACTATATCACACATTTACTCATACATTGAGTTTGTACCAATTTTTCGTGGAATGGGTTATGATTAATGACAAACAGGAGTAATGGTTAACTAATAAGTTAATTACTTGTAAACATTAGTTTCAAGTATTTTAATTTCTTTAGTAATAGACTCTTGATGTACATTTGACTGTATTTGCTTGTTTTTTGTTTTGCAGTTTTTCTGTGTTGAAACTACAAAGCAATGTTATAATTTTAACATACATTTTCTCTAAAAGTAACTATCTTGGATAGTAAAATTTCCAACTAAACATTACTGTTAATTAAACTGAGTTTGAGGGTTTTTCAACTTACAGTTTTTTTGAGTCACCATTTTACGGACATTTTCAGTACATTTCACTGACATTTTTTACAGTGTGTAAAAAGAGCATGGATCTAGAGAGTGATAACACCAACAGCCGTTTGTGTGTATGTATATATATATATATATATATATATATATATATATATGGTGCTACTTTGAACCGAGAATATAACACATATTTTCAGTTGATTACCTTTTCTTTTAGGTATGTACATAATTCAGTTTTGATGCCTTCAGTGTGAATCTACAATGTTCATAGTCATGAAAAAAAATAAAAAATCCAAACTTTTGGTCTGTACTGTACATACATATATCCTTTGATGAGCACTTACACTTTCACTGGAAAGTTGTGCTCCCCCTCAACCCTGATTAGCATTTGTATAGCTCACAGCATTCCCATTTACATGTTAAAGCCTCCTGTGGAGGAGGGAGGAGGGGACAACAAACTACCGTCAACAGCCGAATCCCAGAAGTTTCACAGTAATATACAGTGTCGAAAAGAGACGAAAATCACACTTTTCATGCAGTGATGGAGGAGGCACTATGGAGCAGAGAGCTTTGTGCTTCGAAGGAAAAGCAGTTTGGGCTCAGAGCCTGATATACAGGAGACAGTGGACTATCTAACATATATATAACTTATAAACTGTGCAGTCGTTTGTTTTGCACTGTTCCTGTCTTTGTTTGAATCGTAGCTGCGTTTGTTGCTTTCCTCCTGCACTCGTAAATCGTTCATGTTTGTCTCAGATATTTACCACTATTATTGTTTTGCTGTTTGTGCTGAAAACTATTTAATAATAACTATGTTTCCAACAAGAACTGTGTCTTTATTCACAGCATCACAGTTGAAATGACTTATAAAATAATGAATCCATAAAACTATCACATAAACCTACAGTAGAAACACGTGTAATGAGCTCAAACAGCTTTGTTTGCTATTGTTGTTCTGAAGAGGACAAAGTAGCGTAAATGGGACCGTTCCTGTGTGATCGCCCTAATGTGGTTTGTTGTGGGATTACAACATTCTCCTCAAAACTCCGTAAGGGGAACGCGCCAGTATAACATCAATTGTGCTTACGTAGGTCCACCGCAACCGCTAACGTAAGCCACGCCGCGCAAGTATACACTAGGCTTTACGTCACGTCACCTCTGTAAGCTCCGCGCTTGAGTGCTTCTATTTGAGCTATTTTTAGAACAGGCCAGCGGGCGACTCATCTGGTCCTTACGGGCGACCTGGTGCCCGCGGGCACCTCGTTGGTGACCCCTGCTCTAGAGTCTAGACTGGGACTGGTCCAGAGATCTAGTGGAGTCCAGAGTACAGACTGGGACTGGTCCATAGGTCAAGACTCCAGGGTACAGACTGGGACTGGTCCATAGGTCAAGACTCCAGGGTACAGACTGGGACTAGTCCATAGGTCAAGAGTCCAGTGTACAGACTGGGGCTAGTCCATAGGTCAAGAGTCCAGTGTACAGACTGGGACTGGTCCATAGGTCAAGAGTCCAGTGTACAGACTGGGAGTGGTCCACAGGTCTAGTGGAGTCCAGAGTACAGACTGGGACTTGTCAATTGGCCATGTGTCCCTTTAGAGGCTGGGACTAGATCCGGTGAAGCTCTGAATATGTTTCTTTTGGGTGACTTTCTGTTGTGGTTGAACTTTGCGGCCGTTCTACCTCTGGCCTCTGATCTGAAGCGATGATGTCAGTTCTGGCCTCAGGCCTTTGAAGTATCAGTGTTTTGTCCACAGCCCGACTCCATTCTTACCTTTCATGGCTGTCACTCACACTTGGGGGGCGGGACTTCCTGTGTTTGAACAGAGCGGTCACAACAAACAATGTGCTCCTGCTGCATTCACTGATTATACAGTAGCCCTTTGCAGCAGGGACAGGTAAAGTTGTGAAATAGGGGAGGCTCGCTTAGTTGTATAAACACAATTCATACACAATAGATAATAAAGCTTGGGTACCAAACTGTTTCAATAGGACACATGTAGTTTGTACAACAAAAAGAGTCTTGAAAAAGTAAAATAATGTGAACAAATCAGATTGCATCATGCTGTCTTCATCTTTTTAGAAAACATATTATATTTTGTGTAAGAAAGAGCCCTGTGAGTCACTCTTTGGCTCTTTGAGCTGGTCATGTTTTAGACCTGGTTCAGTCCTCGTTCAATTCATGATTTCGACCTTGGTTCAGTCCTGTGGTAGAGAGTCATGTGTGGAATGTGTCGTGTCTGGACCTGTTGGGGCCACAGAGAACAGAAGTTTGTAACATGTTCGAAACTAGTCTCCTGGAAAATATGGTTTGCATTCATTTCTTACACATTGTCCCTCATCTGGACCCACCCCAGAGAGAGACACGAGAGAGACACAAGCGATAGAGACCAGAGAGAGAGACCAGAGGGAGACACCAGAGAGACTACAGAGACCCAAAAAACATACATTAAAAAAATATTTATATTTAACTTTCTCAAACAGGAAAAGTAAATATTGTTAAATCCATGTGAATAAAGTTGAATATTTGCTTATCTAGAAGAGGCAACCACAGCTGAGCTCTCTAAACTGCGTTTGGTCTCTATCAATCTTTGCTTCACTATAGTCAGATAAACTTTTTCAACATGTTACCAGCTAAGTTTCCGTTCCTCCACAAGAAGCAGTCAGATCTGGAGATACCACCACTTCATATTTTAACCCTGTGTAGAATGGTTAAAATGTCCATCAAGCTGGGGCAGGTAACTTTCAGACCACAACAACTGAACTCTCTAGTAAAATCTCTGACATCGTTGTAATGCTCCAGCATAGAAAACATTGTGCAATAAAACTTCTGAAGTTTGGTAGAGGTGTCTGACTTTTGGGAATTGTTGTGTATTTTGATACATTTTTTAAACTTCTATTGTAACCTGCTGCTGCGTAAACTGTGAGGCCTGTATCACTGTGTGTTTGTGTAGAGTCTCTGCCTTCTGCCCTGAGATTCCGATGCAAATGAATTGCCTTTTAGGGATCAATAATGTTTTCTGAATCTTAAACTGAATATATGAAACTATGTCAATACTTCCTGGATCTAAGCCTGTTTGGTGTGGGTCTGGGTCTATAGGTCATGTCTGGGTGTTCACATGCATGTATTTCTGGCCTCTGTCACATCTGTAGATCGGCTTTTTCAAGGCCGTTCTCACTCAGCCAATCAGCTCTCAGCCCAAAGTGTCAAATAGTGACTTGCTCTTTCTTTCCCAAAAGATGAATACAGAAAGTTTCAGATGTCTAAACTGCTGTGTGTTCATGTTTCAGGTTGGAGTCTCCATATTAAAGACCGCAACAACCTCTTGGTGAGTTTCAGTGTCACATATACACATATAATGTTTGGTTAAATGTATCAATCAATCAATCAACCTTTATACACATTAAGATCACCTGGAATATTGTTAAAAACATAAACATTAAAATCACACAAGGAATGAAATAATAAATAATAATCATCAATATAATATAAGATAAAATCCTTTGTATGCACTGCTAAACTGAGATGTCTTCAACCTGTCAGAGTAGACGCCTGTCTTCAGGAAGACTGTCCCAGATTTTAACTGCATGAATCTTAAACACTGCCTCCCCATGTTTTGTGTAAATGTATGGTATCAATTGATAAATTAAAGCAATTAACACTTGACTACAGCCTATAGTATTCTCATTTCCACTAAGCAAAACAGTTTGCGCTGCTCTTGAAAAAATATGTTGAAAAGTGTCTATGTTGCTCCAGGTACATGAAAAACTTGCCGTAGTACATACGGAGTGAGCAGGCCTCTGCTCAGGACTTTTTAAGACTCTGTGGTAGCTTCTGCCATTTACTACGCTGCCGTGTGCTGGGCCCCGGGCAGCACAGAGCGGGACAGAAACAGACTGAACAAGCTGGTCAGGAGGGCCAGCTCCACTCTGGGCTGCTCCCTGGACTCTGTGGAGGCGGTGAGGGACAGGAGGGTGCTAGCCAAAGCCACCTCCATCATGAACAATACCTCCCACCCACTGCACAAGACTGTAGAGGAGCTGAGGAGCTCCTTCAGTGGAAGACTGAAACACCCTCAGTGTAGGAAGGAGCGCTACCGCAGGGCCTTTATCCCCACTGCTGTCAGACTGTACAATAAGTCACTTTAAATGATCACTGTGTGAAAACCTGCACTACTATTGACACTGTTTCCAATTGACACTTGTCACTTTTGTTGTACATAATTATTGTCACTTTTACTGTACATATATATCCTGCATGTAACATGTTTGCACATTTCCTCCTTTTGCACAATCTGAGTGTCTCTATCCATGCCAAATGTGACATGTAAATTTCTCCTCTGTGAGATAAATAAAGCTTATCTTATCTTATCTTATCTTATAATGGGATTTTCTTTGGTGTCTCTATGGTCTCTCAGGTTTCTGGTCTTGCTCTTGTCTCTCTGGTTGCCCTCTGGTCTCTTTCTTGTTTCTTTGGTCTCTCTTTTTTTAAAAGTGGTCTGTGTGGTCAGTTAATTGGTGGATTTATGTTGCCAAAGTAAATAGTTTGAGTTTGAGTAAGATGCTGCTGTGTCAGGGCGCCGCAGTAATAGCTCTGGTGTTGAGTATTGACCCGCTCCACTTAGCTTACAGACAGAATAGGAGCGTTGAGGATGCGATCTCCTTTTCTCTGTTGCTCGAATGCTGTTCATCGATTATAGCTCTGCTTTTTATTACCTTGTCCCAGGTAAACTGATTGAAAAACTCATATCTCTCAGTTTAAGTGTTGCCATGTGTAAATGGATTTTTAGCTTTTTAACTGACAGATAGTGAAAATCAATTATGTTGTTTCTGTGAACACCGGATCTCCTCTATTTTTAGTCTTTTGCTTTTTACACTGTACACTCATGATTGTGTGTCTTCCTCTGACTCTAAGTTGATAATTAAATATGCTGATGACACCACCATCATCGGTCTCATTAGTAAGAATGATGAATCCTCTTATAGAGCAGAGATACAAAATGTGGTTCAGTGGAGTAAAGCTAACAACCTCCAGCTGAACGCATCGAAAACATGTGAACTGGTCTACGACTTTAGTCGTAACAGTTCTCACACGCCTGTTATTGATGACTCCCAGGTGCAGATTGTAGAGGATTGCAAGTTTCTAGGTTCTGTCTAACGACCTGAAAAACATTACCGGGTCATTAAGAAAGCTGTCAGCGTCTCTACTTTCTGCAAAAACTTTACCAATAACTCTAAGATTCTGCTTAACTTCTGTGTTCTGTGACTGTGTGGTTTGGTAACATCACAGACAAAGAAAGGAGAGCTCTATACAAGGTGCTCCACTCTGCAAAGAGGACTGTGGGCGGGGAGCTTCCTGTTTTGGAGGTTCTTTGTATATCCAGACTTTTAAACCGAGCTCTTAATGACTCTTCTGGCCACCCTGGAAAAGCCTTTTTCCAGCTTCTTCCCTCTGGCAGAAGATATCCTTCTATGAGATGCAGGACATCTCGATATGCTCACAGCTTCTTCCCACAAGCTGTTATCAGTTTGACAGAGCACTTTAATGACCTTGCACTGGTACTGAAACTGTTTTAGTCGATCAATTTCACAGTGACAATTGTTTACTGTTTTTTTGTTTTATTTCTGTACTTTTAATGTTGCTTTATATATGTACTTGTCTTGTGCACACTGGGGACTTTTAAAAATGTTTTCCTGTGTGATTTTACTGCAAATGGCAAATACATGAATCTGAATATGAATCTGAAAGTAGAAGTGTTCACTGAAACATTATTTGTGTTATAAATGTGTTTATTTCATATATGTCTTTTAACTTTGAGTTCCACTCTGGTGAATCGCTCTTTATGTGTTGTTGTGCGTTGTGTTTGTGTGCAGGACAAACTGGACTTGTACTGACGTCTCCCTGCTCCTGTCTTCTGCTGTGAACAGACTACACATCCCACAATGCACCACTCTGCTCAGGATGGAGGGAGACAGACTTTTAAACCCCAAGACACTGGATTCTAACACTGCACTGTGCCGACGTCTTTCCAATGGTTTAAAAATGACTTGAATTCAGGTTATTTTATTTTTGATCCAAATGACTTGAAACTGAGATCTGTTTGAATAATTTATCTTAAATTCAAATATCTGTTGTCATTGTGCTGATTGCTGAAATGTCAAAATGATTGTTTTTTTTAGCATCTATGTGAATTAGTCACTTGAGTTCAAGTCACTTAAAGCTGGCCTACGTAACTATTAAACCAAATCAATATAACCCTACAATAAAACCCATGTCATGTTTCAGTTTCAGATCAGCTTTTTCAGAAAGCTGATCTGAAAGTGAAAAAGATAGTATCACTTCCAGTAACCCAATCAGCTCTTATCCCAAAGAGTCAAATAGTAACTCACAGGGTTCTTTTTTTACCAAGTATTATATGTTGCTACCGATAGAAACGTGGAAAAGAGAGGAACACCCTCTCTTAGCCCAAAGAGTCAAAGAGTGACCAACAGGGCTTTCTTACTCAAAAGATTAAACTATTTCTGTTGGGACAAACTACAGGTGTTATTATTCTGGAACAAAAAAAGTTAGGTACCCCAGCTTCAAAGCCCTCAGAGAATGCGTATTGTGCAGTGTGTTTGGATGCTTCTCCTGTTGGACTACATTTCCCATGACCCTCTTCTTCTCTCTTGTTTGTGGATGTTTCTGTGTGTTTGGCGGGCTCTTGGTGAGCACTGCTTCTGCTGGATTCATCTCTTTCTCGATTACCTCACGATGAAAACCAAAACTCCATCCGTCAAAAAAGGAACAGGTCATTCCGTTTGACCATGTTGACGGCCGTGCCACGTCCCCTGTTCTGGCCGCTCTATCTCAGTCGACTAAACATGTTCTCACATATTTTCAAATCTATTTTCTCATTAAGCTGTGATGTTAGTGGTAAAAACTACAATTATCTATTACAAACAAAGACACCTATAAAGAAGGCTAAAAGATAAGCTCACATTAAGGAAAATAATATAGTTTGTAGTACATTTTGAATTGTAATTGATTTTAGACTAATAATAATAATAATGCATCGGTTTTATATAGTGCTTATTTCGAGACTCAAAGACGTTTCACATGCATATTCATTCACAATGATTACTATGGCAATCATTTCAGTTTTGTCAGCGTTAAAATCCTAGCCTTAATTGTTAACAGGGCTAACGGCAAACTGTGTAAGAGAACTTTCCAACTTCATACATTCCAGAATGAGCAGAACAGGGGACACTCAACTGTATGGATCTGAACATTGGCCTTTGTTCATGTGTTTTGAATGTGTGTGTATAGGTTTTGTTGTAATTAGAGTTTTTAAAGGAAACCTGGACCAGCGCTTCTCAAACTGGGTCAGTTGCAACGCCCCCAAAGACCAGACCCTGACCATCTGAGTGTGCATTTCTGGAGAGTGTTATTCTGTGATTGAGACTTTTCCATGAGTAGTAATGGTGTGGCGGCCCCGAGTTTGAGACGCACTGGTCTGGACTCACTCAGATCTTGACTGGAAACACCAGGGGCCTCATTTTTAAACCACGTTCCCAGGTTGTGATCTGTGGAAAAGAAAATTTGCGATTTTGTTTTCAGGAGCAGGGCCTGTCCTAGTCTTCAGGGTGCCCTCAGCAGATGTGGTTGCAGGGCCCCACTTCACCGCATCACATACCCTTTTGATTAGTGTATTAAATTAAGACTTTCAAACCACAACAATAGAACACATCTTTAGATCAGCGAGAGGAGAAAAGTGAAGAAGAGCAGACCCCCTTCACTCAGCCAATCAGCTCAAAGAGTCAAATAGTTACTCACAGGGCTTTTTCTTACACAAAAGATAACATTTATAAATACGATGAAGACAACAGGTTGTGGACAGATTTGTACACATATTCCTTTGACAAGAATCTTTCTATCGGAACAAATTTCACAAACATGTACCCCAGCTTTAATCTCAAGTTTAAATGATTCCCAGTTGGCTAAAGTGCAACATAATGCACATAAAAACATAAAACATAAAATTAGCCTACATGGCTAACTCTGGCACATTTACATGTTAAAAACACATGTTGATGAATGTGCACTGTCCCAATTCAAATAAAGATAAGAAAAAAAAAAAAAAAAAAAAAAAAATGTGTAGGATATTCTTGGGGGCCCTGTGATCAGTTTGCTTATGGCCTAGGATTGGCCCTGGTCAAAAAATTATTCAAGCGTATTTTTTGGTGGTAGAAATGGAACGTTTTCTAAATGAGACCTCTGATTTGTAATTGTTTTATAGCAAAAGACAAACATTACAGCCGCCTGCTTCCAAACAGTGGACCTTTGGCTGGTGGTTCAGAAGGGTCTCTGTTGTAACGGTGCAATCTGTATTCGTCTGATCAAGTGGACGGAACATAAGTTATTGATCTCACACTCAGCATCTGTACATTTGTTGTATATAATGTTTCCAATTGTACAAAAATATTGATTTGAAAACAATAAAGAAAGATATGGTCCACAGAAACACCGCTGTTTGTGTTGATTTGGGATTTGTGTTGTGATGTCACAAGTTCTCAGGAACAGAAAATGCAGATACAGTGTTCTCACACATGAAAACTGCAAACTGCAGCTTGTTTTATTATTTTACACTGGAATGGATCAAAAAGCAATTTGCAAAATTTGCAAAAGCAAATACATTTTTTATTCATCCATCCATCCATCCATTTTCTTCCGCTTTATCCGTTGCCGGGTCGCGGGGGCAGCAGTCTAAGCAGAGACGCCCAGACTTCCCTATCCACACACACCTCCTCCAGCTCGTCCGGGGGGACCCCAAGACGTTCCCTGGCCAGCTGAGAGACATAGTCTCTCCAGCGTGTCCTGGGTCTTCCCCGGGGTCTCCTCCCGGTCGGACGTGCCCGGAACACCTCCCCAGGAAGGCGTCCAGGAGGCATCCTGAACAGATGCCCGAGCCACCTCAACTGGTTCCTCTCGACGTGGAGAAGCAGCGGCTCTACTCCGAGCTCCTCCCGTGTGACCAAGCTCCTCACCCTATCTCTAAGGGAGCGCCCAGCCACTCTGCGGAGGAAGCTCATTTCGACCGCTTGTATCCGCGATCTCGTTCTTTCGGTCATTACCCACAGCTCATGACCATAGGTGAGGGAGGGAACGAAGATTGACCGGTAAATCGAGAGCTTTGCCTTTCGGCTCAGCTCCCTCTTTACCACAACGGTCCGATACAGAGACCGCATCACTGCGCACGCTGGACCGATCCGCCTGTCAATCTCACGCTCCATCCTCCCCTCACTCGTGAACAAGACCCCGAGATACTTGAACTCCTCCACTTGAGAAAGGACCTCTCCACCCACCTGAAGAGGGCAAGGCACCTTTTTCCGGTCGAGCACCATGGCCTCGGATTTGGAGGTGCTGATTCTCAGCACCTTCGCACTCGGCTGCAAACCGTCCCAGTGCATGCTGCAGGTCCTGGTTCGTTGGAGCCAGCAGGACTACATCATCCGCAAAAAGTAGAGATGAAATCCTGTGGTTCCCGAACCGGACCCCCTCCGGCCCCTGGCTGCGCCTAGAGATTCTGTCCATAAATACAGTGAACAGAACCGGTGACAAAGGGCAGCCTTGGCGGAGGCCAACATGCACCGGGAACAGGTCTGACTTACTGCCTGCAATGCGAACACAGCTCTGACTCCGGTCATATAGGGACCCCGTACTCCCGGAGGACCCCCCAAAGGACACCCCGGGGAACACGGTCGAACGCCTTCTCCAAATCCACAAAGCACATGTGGACAGGTTGGGCGAACTCCCATGAACCCTCGAGTATCCGATGGAGAGTATAGAGCTGGTCCAGTGTTCCGCGACCGGGACGAAAACCACACTGCTCCTCCTGAATCCGAGATTCAACCATCGGACGTAGCCTCCTCTCCAGTACCTTGGAGTAGACCTTATCGGGGAGGCTGAGGAGTATGATCCCACAATAATTGGAACACACCCTCCGGTCCCCCTTCTTGTAGAGAGGGACCACCACCCCGGTCTGCCGCTCCATTGGCACCGCCCCCGATCGCCACGCGATGCTGCAGAGACGTGTCAGCCAAGACAGTCCTACAACATCCAGGGACTTTAGATAGTCAGGATGGATCTCATCCACTCCCGGCGCCTTGCCACCATGGAGGCTGCCAACCACCTTGGTGACCTCGGCCAGGGAGATGGAAGCATCCGCCCCAACATCCTCAGCCTCTGCCTCCTGGACGGAGGACGTGACGGGGGGATTGAGGAGAACCTCGAAGTATTCCTTCCACCGCCCGACAATATCCCCAGTCGAGGTCAGCAGCCCTCCACCCGCACCATACACGGTGTTGGCAAAGAACTGCTTCCCCCTCCTGAGGCGCCGGACGGTTTGCCAGAACCTCTTCGAGGCCGACCGATAGTCATGCTCCATGGACTCTCCGAACTCCTCCCAGTCCCGGGTTTTTGCCTCTGCAACAGCCCGGGCCGCGGCACGTTTGGCCTGCCGGTACTGGACAGCTGCCTCAGGAGTCCCACGAACCATCATTGCTCGATAGGACTCCTTCTTCAGCCTGACGGCATCCCTTACTGCCGGTGTCCACCACCGGGTTCGGGACCAGAGACCTTGCGACCACAGCTACGAGCCGCCGCATGGGCGATAGAGGAAGAGAACATGGTCCACTCGGACTCAATGTCCCCCTCCTCTGCCGGCACCTGGGAGAAGCTCTCCCGGAGGTGTGAATTGAAAGTCCGTCTGACAGGGGGCTCAGCAAGACGTTCCCAGCAAACCCTCACTACACGCTTGGGCCTGCCAGGTCTGACCGGCCTCCTGCCCTGCCAGCGGATCCAACTCACGACCAGGTGATGATCGGTTGACAGCTCCGCCCCTCTCTTCACCCGAGTGTCCGAGACACGCGGTCGAAGGTCAGATGATACGACAACAAAGTCGATCATCGACCTCCGGCCTAGGGTGTCCTGGTGCCACGTGCACTGATGGACACCCTTGTGCTCAAACATGGTGTTCGTGATGGACAGGCCGTGACTGGCACAGAAGTCCA